TGACTCTGGCACCATGGCACCATCTATTTTTGTCTTGTTGAAACTTTGGTTATTCAGAATATTTGTTGCCGTGACAAAACACATACTCTAGTGCAGGCAAATGAAAAGAGGAATAACTGAAAAGAGAATAGGTAACACAGAATCTGGAACAATTTTTTCAAGGAAGGAACTGGATGAGGAAGGAAAATAGAACCAAATAAAGGCTCATAGATATCTCTAGGCAATTATATTCTTTTTCTAAAGCTGAATTGTGGTATATTCTATTTTATTCACTTAGTTTTTCTTTAAACTATTCAGGTCCATGTTAACATGTGTACAGTAGTGAAATATTTCATATCCAAAACACATAAAGTAAAACTGGAGGACAATGTAAATTTTTCCTCTTTTAGGAAATACCACTGGAAGATTTATAGAAACACACTGATGCTGTTTTCAAAAACCAAATGACAGTATTCAAATAAGCATGTTGTGTGGGAGGTATACAGTATAGTTAGATCACACTGCAGTTGCTTCCACCATGGCTGGGTTTATGCTGTTGGCTAGATAATATTTCAATAACACAGAATGTGAAGAACTACATTTTGAAAATTCATATAGAAGATATATAGGAGAAACAATATTATTGATAGTCAACTTAACAGTAAAATGTTTATATAGAAAAACAATGAATTGCAACTATCCATGGCACTAGGACTTTGAGGTCAATAAGAATCAAAATGTAATTTGGGTCATAAATTATTGCTCTGGTTCTTGAGGAGGATTTGAGTAAGTAAAAGACAGCAGGAGTGTGTCAAGTGAGGGCTGAGTAGCTCTGTTATTGCCTTGACCACCAAAAGTCCCTACCATCTAGATAATAGAAGACTATACAAGGAAAGAACCTTACCTGTAGAGCATCTATACTTGGCCCAAGAACCCGATGTTTCTGGGATTGCTATCTGTTTGGCAAAATTAATGTGTCTAGTTACTAATGATGAGAGACATATTTACAACTGTGCTCACTGGGGTCTTTGAGTTGTTAGAAAATATTTAAAACATGACTTCAAGTTGTTAATTGTCATCAGAAAGGATTTTCATCACCTCCCTAGACTAAACAACACTAACTAAAAGCAAGATATAATTTAAAGATTTTTTTCCTTTGAACTTTTCCCTTTAAGGAACAACAGATTATATTACATTAATGAAAAACAATTATGTCAGATTTTTCATTAAAAGCACACTGATTTTCCAATTACATTCATTTGAAGATGCCTAGAGGTTTAGGAATGATATACTATAGAACTCTTGGGAATCTCTTTAAATAATACTAATGCTTACAGAGGAGGGAACGAACTAGCAACTTGATTTTTACTTTGGAATCTACAATTTGATTTTTGGATACCTAGAACTTATTTCTCATCTTTCTGCCCCAAGTGAAATCAATCTGATCTATAGTTCTACCTTTAAATTTTTATATATTTTCTTCTCTTACAATAGCTCTTACAATAATTCTTACAATAAGAGTTCTTTTAATATAGTTGTACTTTTTGTGCTGATATCAGGGCTTGAACTCTGGTCCTGGATGCTCTCTCTGAGCTTTTATGTGCAAGGCTAGCACTCTAGCACTTGAGCCATATTTCCACTTCCAGGTTTTGAGAGATTAATTGGAAATATAAATCTCATGGGCTTTCCTTTCCAGGCTAACTTCCAACCAAGATCTTCAGATTGCAGCCTCTTGAGTAGCCAGGATTATAGGTATGAAGTACCAGTACCCAGCTATAATGATAATTTTTGAGAAAATATTACTAAATTTATTCATTCAATTCCCAAGTATTTACTCAATACTTATTCAGTGGTATCACTATTACAGGTATTTGAGATAAGTATTAAATGTGCAGAAATTTCTTCACCTAGAGATCTTACATTTTAGTAGAGGAAACATTAAGGAAAAAGTAAGCAAATTATATAATTTATAAGGTGACACATGCTATAGAAAAGTTAGGACAGAGTCAGAAGTCTAAGAGGGAGGATATGGGATATGATCTTTACCACAAAAGGGAAGTTTTATGATGCTCACTGACAAGCTTGTATTGGAGCAAATGTTTCTTAACCAATGCTATCGTTATTACAAACAACTTTACCATTGGAGAGCAAGTCTTAACTTTCATGTGCTTATTTGAGGCAATCTGCTTACTAGACACTAAACTTTATAAAGTTCATGTATATATTATTGCCTTCAGAAAGAAGTACTGTAATGCTATAAAATGACATAAGCAATTTATCTTGGGATGGTTTAATCGTGTTAGTAGAGAGATTTAAAGTAAATTACGAAAACTGCTTTAACTTTATACTCAATAAGTGGGGATTAAAATGAATAAAATTTTAGTTAATTTTCACTAGGAATCAAATTCAATTTTTTGCAGGAATATGGCTGTGCAGTAAAATTATGAAAAAAAACTGAACCCCTCAGGTCTTTCTTTTCTCTCATCTTTGACTTTCCCTCAAAAAGGAGTAATATTTATAGTTTTTTGACTTGTAGGTCAAATTCAATGTTGAACTACATAGAATTTATTTTAATTCAATAAATCCCCCATTTACTTCAAAAAAGCAGATCAAACATTATGAATACAAATATATCATATGTATTGTAGCTAAAGTAGATGTACGTTTTTTTGGTAGAACCCATTAGTGTTAAATTATCTTGTGAAAATTACACAAAACAGGTGTGGTTAATTATAATTGCAATGTGAACTGTAAGATATAGGTATTCCTCAAAAGAGAGGTCTAATTATTAAAAAAATAGTCTCAACTGTGGGATCAGTTACTGTTTAGTGGTAGAGCATTTGCTTAGCAAGAAAAAATATTTTTATACATATATGTATAACATATATATATGTATATCTTAGATATCTTACCATATCTAAAAATGTTACTTTCCTCAATCTCTTTTCAAAACCATATTTCCACAGGGAAAAAAGTTGTCCCCAATTTCATAATTTTGACATACAGATGAAAATTTAAGCATGGGGTTCCAAAAATGATCATAGAATCAGCATTGAAAGTCCAAAACATAGATATAAATCTCTATTTCCTAAGAGGTACTCCAACTATCTTAATTTGTCTGTGAAAAAGTTACTCCTCCCTCTACGTTCCCCATCTGATCTTTTTCATCCTAGTATACCTTTCCCTAATTACAGTAGGGCAAATACTGGCTACACTTTCCTCTCTCCCATCTCCAGTGTCTGATTAATCCAAAAGACCACTTAAGTCCACATTCCCTTGCCCTTGTCACCAAAGTGAGCTTCCCAAAAGCAGAACTTACCATGCTGCCCAGCCAACTCCAAGACTCTCTGCTCCAATAAAATAAAATGAAGAACTGACCCAATTTCTTCAAGAGTTTCATCACTACAGTGGTCCATCTCTAACTATATTGCCAAGTTTCCTGAAAGCCTTCTTTACACAGAGTTCTTTTAATGAGTTGCACTCTCTGATCTGAATGTATAAGCTTTCTTTCACACTTCGTATTCACTCATTCATTAATGAATAAAGATAAATGTCTATAGAATACAACTCTGTGTCAGATAATAAAACCTTGTAGAGTCTTAAGCAGTGCGTAGAAGATTTGTGCCTGTGCTCAGGAAGTTGAGCTCCTGTGCTGGCATACATCATCCCCTTTTCAGACTCCGGCATCTTTTTCTCATCTTCCTCTCAGCATATACACAAATTGCACCAATGGCTCCCACTTCTAAACATCAGGGCTTCTGAGCATGGCTTCTGAGTCTTTGTTGTAGGGTTCATATCAGACATTTTTTTTCTTGGACTTTTTTTTTCTAGTTTATATTCCCAATAGACTCTCAATTGTTTACAATAAAGAGCAGAGATTTATTTTATTGATATATCCTATAATACCCAGGACATAGTCAGATCTCAAATCAAGTTGAAGAGGCTTGACTCAAAATTTAGGCATCATGGTAGAAAATGAACTGCCTAACGAGGTGTGCAGGCAGGTTACCAAGTGCATTTACATTCCCTATTAAGTGTTTATACATTCATTCTGCTTACATTTCTCAGTTTTCTTATCAATTTTAATGTATCCTTCCATAGCACATCTGGCTTACTTTTCATTTTAAATGTTTTAAAAGACTCTAGCCTTAAAGATTACAATGTTTTCATAAATATACATGAAATTTATCTTTTAAAACTCCTTAATGTATGTGTAGCTGATGACTTAAGCCTTAGCTTTGCATCTGTTCTCTTTTTATACAGAAATTACTCTGTATACAAGAGTGGGATTTTTTTCCCCATTGAGTTGCATGCTAATGTATTATAGCCTGAGGAAGTAACATATAATACACTCTCCTATTCCTAACGCTATGGTATTTCTGTGCAGGATTATTTTTCAATGGTCTGGAGATACATTGCTCCCAAGGCAATCCAGTGTAATGTTTATATATTGACTTATTCTGGAGGAATGGATTATAGGGTAGAGTTTACAAAGACCTCTTTCCATCTTTCCTTGACTGGAAAAACTACAGCACCTCCTTCATCTTTTTTTTGATAGAAGCAACTCATGACTCCTGCATTGTGTTTTTTAATAGCAATAGAAACTAAAATCATGTGATTACTCATAATAGCATGAAAAAGAGTTGGTCTAAATTCATAAGGTGGATGTTCCTAGTAAAAGTTGGGCAATTTGATCAGCAAGATTCTAACCAGAAAATGAAACCATATTGTGAGGCTCGAAGTACATTAGTTTAAACTATATTGGCCAACTGCCAACAACCATGATCCTAGAAAAAGGAGAAAATAACGATACTTTCAGAGGCAAAAGTGGTTCCTATGTGGACATTGATTTCAGTCTGTCCATAAAGACTTAACAAACATTAGACTATACTTGGACTTGGTTATACAAAATGACATTTTAGACAAAAAAAGAAGTAACAGTTTTTAAAATGCATGCATATCAAACTATGTGCTAACATAATTTCAGGTATAATTGTTTAGGATAAGTAAATTTAGTGTACCTTTTCCATCTCTACCTTGCTTGAACTTTTCTCAGCATCATTACTGAATCTGAAAAATAAATCAAATCAAACTATTGTATAATTCTGTTCACATGTAATTTGAAAAAAAGAACCTGATCAAAATATCAATATTCTTTACCCTGGAACTTGTTTTGTTTTCTCTTTCCTTTCATTTGTTTCTTGTCCAATGACAGTTTCTGCAAAACATTAAATAAATGAAAACAATCTAAGTATGAAAGTTATTATTGGGTGGACAAAGATGGATGCATTACTAAAAATTAAAAAAGCAATTTCACCTATTATCAACCTAAAATTCATTTTAACACAGTATTTTATAGACACAAATATCCCCAACATGTTTTTCATCACCTCAGAGCAATTCATCTGAGTCACAAATAACCACAGAGAGATTACTTATTGTATCCAAATGGAATGTGGAAATTAAAGGGTCCCATGATGAAGCAAGAAATCATTTCAGGGTAAAGAAGAGTAACTTGGAGAGTAATTCGTAAAGATATGAAAGAGTAGTCCATCAAACTGGCTAGGGAGCATGAAAGCCATTTTTCCTTCCTCCCCTTCCCCAGAGACTATGAATTCAATTTTAAATTTAAAGTTAGCACCCTTATATTAGTCCTTTGCATAGCTACTGGGGATTTTTGGAAAGATGAGAGTTCAATGTGCATCATGCATGTATAGAGAGTTCATTCAAAATATATCTCAGAATTCTTGAGTTTGTGCTTATTGCCCAAATAATTAGACCCCACGGTGGCCAGATCAACACATGATACCATCAACTTCCAGTCCATGGGTGGCAGATTCATTGAAATAAGTCATCTGCGTGGCTTCAACCTCTGCTTCAGCACTGATGATCTGCTGTGCCACAGCCTCCACAATCGGCATCACCATGGCAGCAGTAGAGGTGTTGCTAAGCCACATAGATAGGAAGGCAGTACTGCTCATGAACCCCAATGTCAGCCTGAAATGAGAGAGCTTTTAGTGCGGAGCTGCGTGTGCTAGCTTTGGTTTACAAACTATCTTATTTGTGAGTTGGGAATCCATTTTTTTCCTAAATGATCGAAAAGTTAAGTTTCTGTCCAGATGGTGAACTCTGTGTACAATCAGAGCCAAACAGAAATCAAAGTAGCTCATGTAAGAGTGGAGTTCTAAAGAGACTTGTCTCCTAGAGAACCATAAGAATTTTCACTCAAAAAAAAAAAAACACACGCCATTAAATTTACACCAAATTGCAAGTTGGCATATGGTTTGCAATATTAACAGTTTGTAATATTAGCTTAAAATTGGATTGCTTTTGGCAGATGAATACCACATTTCAGATACAAGTAAAATCAAGGTGCAAATAGTGACACTCACTAGACACTGTGCTGGAAATGAACTCTACACCTCCACATGGGAGAAAATGAGGGGAAGAGGTGACATTGTTCAAAAAGAAATGTACTCATTACCTGATTTATGTAACTGTAACTGTTACCCTTCTGCATATCACCTTTGCAATAGTAATTTAAAAAATATTAATAAAAATCAAGGGTGCAAGCAACTTTCAAATACAGAGTTGCTTGTTTTGTAGTTGATATAATGCTGTTAGTATGGGTGTCAAGAAGACAAAAAGGCTGGGAAGGTGGCTCAGTGGTAGAGCGCTTGCCTTGCATGCATGCGGCCCTGGGTTCTATTCCTCAGCACCACATAAGCAAAAAGAAAAAAAGCAGGAAGTGGCACTGTGGCTCAAGTGGTAGAACGCTAGCCTTGAGCTGAAGAGCTGAGGGACAGTGCCCAGGCCGAGTTCAGACCCCACAACTGGACCCCCACCCCCAAAAAAAGACAAAAGAAAAAGGAGAGAGATTAATATTTATAAGTCTTTGTAATCCACCACACTTGGGGTTCAATACAGAGTAGGTGGAGAAAATGGTTACAAACTCTTGCTAAAATGAGGTTTCAGAATTGTCTATAGATCCTATCATTTATGCTTTCTTCAATCTGACATTTCTTCCTGTTGTCAAACATTGGATTTATTACATTGTCTTTTCTCACAAATAATTTGTTCTTAAAAGTAACATACCCTAAGACTTCTTAGGATATTAAACCATGTCTACAAACTTTCAAAAATCACACTTGGGAAAAAGGTACAATCTCTTTTGAGTAGGAGGCTCTAGAAAATCATTCAGAAACACTTCTTTCCTACAGTTCATTTCTGAAATTCTCTGGCTCTCTTTTAAAAATAGATTTACAAGAACAATTCCACACTGTATTTCAGACTTGGATATGGTGAATATTTTCTATGTGCGAAACCAAGTAAAAGAAACCTTTGCAGACATCAGTGAAAGAGAAAAGATTCTTAATAAACAGAAACTCAAAAGCACTTTTAACTGATGGAAGCTAAAAGATCTGAAATCTTGGAATCAGATACAGTTTTTTCATTGGTGATAATGTCATTAATGGCATTTTGTACACAGTCCATTGTCTTCTCCTTTGGGTAAGAAAAACATTCAAGAAACATGAGATACCATATTACTTAAAGAATAAAGCACCTTAAATGCATATATGTTATAAAACTTGTAAGTAATTTTTTTCAAATTAAGTTTGTATGTTGTATATAGGATGCATTTGCATATGTATTCTACATGTGTAAGTATATGTAGTTTACATATGTAAAACACTCACATACAGGTATATATACAAGCATACACTTGGTATTTACCAAAACAATTTGCTGAATACATGATAAACACAAATATGCCTATAGCCTAGAAGGAATTACACAACCAAAGTCAATAAGATTTTCTTATTTTTCGAAGAAAGATGAGAAGCGAAGACCCTCCTAAGGCTTTAAAGCAAGTATTATTATGCAAATGATTATGACACTGGAGCTTTTCCTTAGCTTGCATTCATGTTCTTAACAAGAGGTGGAATAAAACCAAACTAGGCAATTAATTTAATGAGAGAAAAAGGAAAAAAAATCAGTCAAGTGAGTAATTTCACGTATAGATGAAAGTTCCTAATTGATTGTTTAACTTTGCAACAATTGATTTAAAAAGAAAAACGTTCACCTTGTAATGTTTCTGCACACATTTGTATTTTGTCAGTAATGTCTTTGTCTTTGGCTCATAACATGCTCCCTGTTGATAAAGGATGCTCTTGAACAAGCTTTGAATGTGTAATCAGCCAAATAAACAAGATAGGAATGAAATCTACTCTGAAGTCTATCAATCTTGCCTGTTGAAGTTCAAGGCTTCTCTCATCTTTGACTCCAATGGTGCATTAAGGGTGAGAGAGTTTTGTGCACTTATTCCAATTTCCCTGTAATTAGACCTGCAGTGAAAGGAGAGTTGTTTTTTGTTTCTTCCTACAACTCAAGCATACTTTATATCACTTTCATATTTACAGAAGAAAAAGTCACGAACTACACTGTTATGCAAGCAATTCCCTGGATGTTCATTAATTATTTGAATGTTTGCCCTGCCCAAAAAGGTCTGTTCAGAAAGTAGACTGGATGTAGTAAACACAGCACTTACCATACTGGATTCACCCCCACCATCATCACCATCCTCAGAGCAATCCTTTTGTGCAAATTCCATTTTTCTATCGATGTTGCTAAACAGATGACTCCAATTAGCAGCAGGTGAAAATCTTTGAAATATGCAGATGCCACCTGAAATTCCAATTAAACCCATAACCAAGAATACTGGTGTGGGGAAAAGAAAGATACTATTGTATAAGAAAGCCATTATTAGGCTGCTCTTAACTTTAACCTCGACTACATATCTTTTTTTGTATTGAGAGACAGAAATGTAGATGTGCTTGAATGCATATTTAAATACGTTCTATATTCTTACTCATGGTCTTATTAAGAAAAAAGTAAATGAGGGCTGATGATGCACCCCTATAATCCCACATTATGAGATTGAGGCAGGAGGAGGATGAATCTGAGGACTGTTGGGCTATCTCAAAGAAATGAAAGAAAAAAAAGAAAAAATAGGAGGAGGGAAAGACAAAATAGATGAAATTAAATCAAAGAGATTTGAAGTCTTCTTGCAAGATAAATGCACTTTTTGTTTCTGTAACCAAATAGGATTTCATCAAAAAACAGAATTCTGCAATAAGAGGTCCTGGGTTCTTTCATAGCTGTATGATTTATCCATTGATCAATCTTTGTACAAATCAAACAAGAAGCTGCCATCATTAAGTGCTACACCACATCAAGTGTGAATTAAATGTTTCTTAAAAAGTATATTGTGAGCGAGGGAAGGGGTGACATTGTCCAAAAACAAATGGACTCTATCTGACTTATGCAAACATAACCCCTCTGGACACAACCTTTATAATAATAATAAAAAGTTTTAAAGTACATTGCTAGTCAAAATGCATGTGTTATAGAAACCAGTTTTTATGTATTTACTAAATTTGTTTCATTGAATATAGTGATCAAACTTCCAGTCTTCATAATAACGGACGTGTCAGCACCTTTGGCAGGTATGGCCACTGCATCTTTCTTTGAGGCATTTGGTTCACAAGGTTTCCGGTGCTCCTGAGTTCCCTCCTCTCTATGCCTTATTTATCCTGAGCTCTGTTCTCTGTTCTCTCTGCTTGTCTGTTTTTACTTTCTCTTTTAGCGATCTCAGGTCATAGAGCTTGGACTGCCATCTCTGTGCTTGTAACTGGCAGATCTCCTATCTCCTGATCAGCTGCCTCTCATGAATCTTGACTCTGGAGAGCTACACCCACCACTACTCAACATCTTCACTTAGATGAACAAGGGCCACTTCAGATTAACATGTCTAGCATTGAGCTCTAGGTGTCTACATTTCTTCTACAATAGATCTGTGCTGCTTCTCATCTTTCCCATTTCACATGATATTTTTTTTTCCATTAAGCAGGTCAAAAATCTAGGAAGCATCCTTAAATCTCTTCTTTCTAAAATCCAAACAAGAAAGTTGATTGGTTCAACATTTATCAGTAATATATTCAGTATCTCTTTATACCTGGTCTGAATTATTATCTGATTTTTAAAACATCCCTTGCATTGTATGGCTTTCTCATGTTCCATTTTGGTATGATTAAAAAAATAGCTTTAAATGATATAATAAGATTAATTAAATAATTAGACTAAGTACTGAATTTTAAGTATAGGCCTTTCTGCCTACATCTTTGAGACTTTTCTTGGTGCTTTGTGTTTTGGATCAGTTATTTGTAAACTCAAGGTCAGTTACCCTGTCTGGAAAGAGGACCACAAGACTGAAAAGAGTCCTCATTAAAGGTCCTAAGTGCTTTTTCTTCCTGGAAGTTTTAGCTAATCAAATCTATTTTTTCAATCATACAAATTTAAAATAAAATTAGGCTGATATTCTGGAGATGATAAATTCTCTGCAAGATTTGGATGTTTCTGGAGTGATCTAGTCATTAGACCTAGTTCTAGAAATAATAGCAATACAATACAGCATATAAAACTAGACTTGATATTTAATAACTCACTTAATTACTAAATATTCTTGACAAACTAGTTTTAGTTCTGGGAAGAGAAAAGCTTGATGGTGGTAATAGAGTTGAAGATAGAAATTTGAGAGTAGAAATCGAGTTTTGCAAGTCATAAAGAGTGGGGGTAGGAACCATACTAATTTAAAAATTCAAGCAACACTGGCATGCACAACTGTTGATACTAAATGCAGGCACCATGCCTTTTGGCTCAAGAAACTCCGAGTTTTGGATTTTTTTTATTGTGAAAATACCTTACAGAGAGGTTACAATTACATGAGCAAGGTAATGAGTGCATTTCAATATTCCAACCTCATTCTTCAAGGAAATAGAAGAGGCAATCCAAAAATTCATATGGAACAATAAAAGACCCCAAATAGCAGAAACAATACTTAACAGAAAGAACAGTGCTGGAGGAATATCAATACCAAATTTTAAACTCTACTACAAAGCCATAGTAATCAAAACAGTTTGGTACTGGCACAAGAACAGACTTCAGGACCAATGGAATTAAAAAACCCAGAAATGAACCCACAGACCTACAGCCATCTAATCTTCAATAAGGGAGCTAAAACAATAGAATGGAAGAAAGACAACCTCTTCAGTAAATGGTGCTGGCAAAATTGGTTAATCACTTGTAGAAAACTAAAAAAGCTAGAGCCTTATATATCACCCTGTACCAGAATCAACTCCAAATGGATCAAAGACCCCAGAGTCAAAGCAGACACTCTGAAAATATTACAGGATGGAACAGGAGAAACCCTAGGTCTCCTTGGCACAGGCCAAAATTTTCTTAATAGAGACCCAGAAACACAACAATCAAAGAAAGGTTGGACAAATGGGATTGCATGAAATTTCAGAGCTTCTGCATGGCAAAAGACATAGCTTGCAAGATCAATAGAAAGCCCATGGATTGGGAGAAGATCTTCACTAACCGTACAATGGACAAGGGTCTCATATCTAATATACTTGGAACTCAAAAATTAAATCCCCCAACAACAAATCTTCCAAGAAACAACTGCCCAATAAATTAGTGGGCTAAAGACTTAAAGGAAACTTCTGTGAAGAGGAAAGAAGGATGGCCAATAGACACATGAAGAAATGCTCAACCTTCCTAGCCATAAAAGAAATGCAAATCAAAACAACATTGAGATACCACCTCACCCCAGTTAGAATAGCTATAATCAAGAACTCTAATAACAACAGATGCTGGAGGGGATGTGGACAGAAGGGAACCTTACTGCATTGTTGAAGTGGGAGTGTAAACTTGTTCAACCACTTTGGAAAGCAGTATGGAGGTTCCTCAAAAGACTCTACATAGAGTTCCCCTATGACCCAGCAATTCCACTTTTGGGCATTTACCCGAATGATCACAAACAAGACCACACTAAAGCTACCAGCACAACTATGTTTATTGCAGCATTATTCACCATAGATTTTTGGATTTTTTAGCAGTAGAACTTCAGAAAGAAAAACTGGGATACAGCTTTATCTGTATAATCTTCCAAAGCAATGATAATTAGAAAGAAAATAAGGTAACTCATATAAGCTCATACAAAATAAATGAAATACATCAACAGTACGAGTAACTTAGTGTAAAAAGAGACATACCAGAAGAAATATACAAGAGAGCTACAGAGAGAATCAGGAATTTAAAAAAGAAAAAAGATGTGGGCTCCAAAATGAGGAAGAACAATGGGAACAACTTTTCTCTTAGGAAGAACTGTAATCAAGGTATAATTCAAAAGGCAATCTCCACCCACACGAAAGACAGATAAGCCTCATGAGAACAGTGGTGGAGAAAGGCAAGAAGATGGAATCCCAAAGGTGATAAATTACACTGACTGAGAACTTGAACTTGACATCTTCCCTGAGAATGTTTTAGCTGTGGTTTAGGCAGGTTTTGTTTTCTGGATGGCTGGAGACTGCATGGAGATAGATATTCTTGTTTCAGTGCATTTCATGCTTTTAATGGGAAATTGAATCCATTTTCTTCAGATGGGTAGCCTTAGATTGTATAAAGGTAAAAAGAAAGAAAGAAAAAAAAATACCAGCACTCAGCGTGAATAAACTCCTCTCAGTGAGAACCAAATAGAAATACACATGAAACTTAATTTGGCTTTAGCTTTTGAAATGCCAGGTTTCTGGAAAAGAAAACAGGGAAGCTTTTCCTTCATTAAAAACAAAAGAAATTGCTTTTTCAACGCTGTGAGATCAAATTCTAATGAACAGAGAAAGCTTTGGCAGAATGTGAACACGTTGGTCCTTTTGTGCAGGGAAGGAAGCACAGAACAGGCATTTCTTCTACAGAAATATGCGAAATTCCCAGAGAGAAGGTACCACTGAAAGTCCGGGGGACTTCAGAGGAAGCCTTCAGCAAAAGGATTATTGTTCTTTTTTCAAAAATGACTTTTCTCCCAGGAAACCACCACACAAAATAAAGAATGTACCAATGATGGCCTTACTTACTTTTGTAGAAGGCATGATCCCAAACAGGGGAAACAATAGGCCTGGAAGTAGAGCTGTGATTGACAGAGGCAAAGCTTCTGTGATCCACAATATGGCGACCACAAAAAGGACGTAGGCACATTCTGCTTCCTAGAAAGGATGAAGGCAAACGCAAGGTAAACAAATGGGAAGCAGAAAGGATCATCTAAGTCATCACCACATTTGCTGAGCAGAGTCATGTCACAGAGAGAAAGAAGCAGCTCTCATGTCTTCTCATAACTAACAGCTCGAGGGGATCTGAGGGCCCCGAAATCTTAATAAATGTGATGAAAACTAAATAAAGTCACTTGTTAAGTTTCACATTTGCCTCGATATGAATATCCTACAGTCAACTTTTCTGTGCTTGTATTAGTCTATATATGATGGTTTGGCTCAGTCAAGCTTGACTTTTCATACACTCTCAGTACCGAAGGGTGGTAGTAATAGTGAAGTTCTTAACTTCTGGGTGTCAGACCCCCCCATCTGCCTTCTAATTACATTTTTTGGTGCCTGCTTGGTTGAGACTCATGCACGCTTACCTTCTAAGTAAATGGGTGGATGAACCAAGGGAAAGTTTTTACTGTGCTTTATCAAAGAGGAAGAATGTGAGGTAGCTTACACCCAGCTTTCAAGTCACATGGACTAGGGAGTAAAACAACAACAACAATTTCTTGTTTTTTGAAAACCACAGCTGAGATACTGAGGAGACACAGAGTCATTACACACAAGAATGGGACTCTTAATAGAATCTGTTGCTGTTTAGTATTGGACCCTAGATTCACTATTTGGAACACTAGTAAGGAGGGAAAGTTTATCTTGCTTTTTGACTTAGAAAATTTTGCTATGAAACCTAGAATATCCCCAGTGATCCCCATACATTCACCTCTGTTCTATGACTTGTTTTGCTTTCACACTGCTGGAATTGTGAGTTGCATATGAAAATTTACACAAAACTGCAATTTGGGTTTGTAGGGGTATTGATTCAAAGCTTATACAATTTCTCAATCTGTGACCCTTTGATTCATCTTCTTCAGCCTGAGTGTTCTGGTCTTGGTGTTGACTTCCCAACATCTTTATGCCATTACAGGAATTCTAAAAGATCCTTAATAAACCAGATGTGTCATAACTTCATTGTGTTATATTTTCAAAGGAAAAAGAATAAAGGTGTTTTGATGTGGACATTTTGTTTGTTTGTTTGTTTTACAGAAACTGCCTCTGGTCTTGACAGTCAATAAAACAACAAAACAAAGCTGGGCTATGACTCAGGCTTTCTAAAGTATTCTACAGCCAGTTTGTGAATACTAGTTTACTTTAAAATGTCAGCAGAGGAGGCTATGCATTTTCTTGTAATGAGAACCCATGGATAAACTCAAAATTTCTTCCTTACAACTTTGTTTTCTGATACTTGCAAGAAACTAGGTTTTAACGACAAAATGGGTCCTGTTATTATCTTGTTTCCTAGTCAGAATAAACCAGTCTCCTGGTAGTCCGACTTTTTACTTCATCATTTTCTAACTCAAATCTGCCTCTCTATCTCTAGTCAACTTTTTTAGGCAAGTCCATTTTAAAACCAGATAGATAATGTCTCAAGAACCCATTTTTATTATGTCATTCTCTTGCACAATGCCAAAGTCTTGGGCTTACCCTCTTATTAATTCTCTAGCACACCACCCAACTACAGTGGTCTGTGAAATATTAGAAAAATAAAGACACTAATGGACTAGCTAATTGTGGTCACCAGGCAGTATCCTTGACATAGAGACTGAAATTTCTTTCCAGCAAGGGACTTCTTCAGCTATGTAGTCCTAACCTGCTCACGTGAGAGAGACAGTTCTGATGGCACAATAACAGTGTCCTTTAGGTTCATCCATGTCATCACAAGTGGAGGATTTTATTCCTTTTTTAAATGGCTGAATAGTATTCTGCTGTGTATAGATAACATATTTTCTTTAGCCATACATTTACTGAAGATACATAAAGGTTTATTCTATTTAGACACTTGGCTATTGTAAATATTGCTATCATAAATACAAAAAGAAGATATGTCTTCCACATATAGATTTCATTTTGTTTGGACATATATACCCAGTAATGAGATTGCTGGAACATATTGTAGTTCTAGTTTTAATATTCTGTGTAACTGCCAAAGCTTTTTCTATGGTGGCTGCATTGATTTGCTTTCCCACTAGCGGAGCACAAAGGTTCCTTCTCCTCCGTGTCCTCTCTAGCACTTGTTACCTTTTGTTATGTTTGTAATAGCGTTCTAACATCTGTAAAGTTATATCTCATGGTGATTTTAACTTGCATTTCCCTGATGACCACTGATATTGAACATTTTTGGTAGAACTTTTAGTTACTTGAATGTCTTCTTTTATGAAATGTCTAGGTCATTTGCCCACTTTATAATTTTTATCTGTTTGCTTGCTATTGCCTTATTTGGTTTCTTAATAGATTTTGGGTATTAATCTATTATCAGATTGCAAGTATTGTCTCCCATTATCTAGGTTCCCAACTTCCTTTCTCTATTAATTGCTTGGTTTGTTGTTCAGAAGCTTTTTAGTCTGATGTTCTCACACTTGTTTATTTTGGCTTTGTTTCCTGTGCTTTTCAACTTTTGTTCAAAAATCCTTGCCCATTCTAATGTTTTGAAGTATTCCCTCTATATTTTCTTCTAAGGGTTTCCTAGTTTCAGGTCTTAGTTGTAACTGTCTAATCTAATCCACTTTGAGTTGACTTGCAGGTACAATGTGAGACAGGAAATTAGTTTCATTCTTTTCTTTGTGGATATTCCGTTTTCCCAGCATCACTTATTAAAGAGAATGTCCTTTCCCCATTGTGTGTTTCAGTGCCTGTCTGTCATGAAAATCAATTGATTGTAAATGCAGAACTTATTTCTGCGTCCTGTTCAAATAATTGATCCATCCATCTGTTTTATGCTGGTACCATGCTGTTTTGGTTAATAAAGGTTTGCACTGTGTTTTGGAGACAGATATGATAATGTCTTCAGCTTTGTTCTTTTGGCTCATGGTTACTTTGGCTACTTGGGGCCTCTTCCGTGGGTACATACGAATTCTTTGAATATTTTTTAAAGAGTCAGGTGACTATCTATCCATTTTCTCAAGACAGTGATGCTTTATACTTGTTAAACAGATGCCCCTTCTGAATGACAACTTCTTTCATGCTAAGAGTTCTCTCTTTTTGGTTGGTAGATCATACACATATCCTTTTGATAAGTCCAAAGCAAAAAACCCTTCTTCCTCCAATTCCTCTTCTCTATTGAGCCATCCCATGTGGGCAGGAAAGAATTCTTTCCACTCAATACTCAGTAAGCTTTCAGTAACAGGCTAGTCCAGACATAATTGCAAATATTTTCTTGGAAGAATATGAAATTAAAATACATGAAATTATTATTTGCTTTTAAATCAAATACCTATGGGTTTTTTTGCTAAGATTAAAATTATAAAAGATACAAAAAATGACCATTTTCTTCTTTTTGGTTGTTTTTTATGCTTTCCCATTGTGATTCACATTACCTCATCTAGCAGCTTCTAGTAGTCTCTGTCAGCTCTTAATTTTCAGTACAGAGTGAGTTTTATCTTGCTACCTAGGTTGGCTTCTAGCCAGGTCAGCCCAACAGCTGTCATCTGACTGACTGGGGATACTGAGGTGAGGTGGTTCCTTGTTCGGATAGTGTTTGCTTCCTGTGAGCTGCTTTCTGTCTTTCACATCTTCAAGCAAACCATTCTCCAATCTTTAGATCGTGATATTGAATGGGAGCTGACCCCAGAATCATTGGTGGAGACGATGAACCACAAATTCTCTCATTCTTTCTGTGTGTTCTTTCTATTGTTAGGCTTGGTCATATTTCTCGAGCCCTCATTCGAACTACATCCTGGCTATCAGATTCCTTAGCCTAACAACCTTTTTCTTTTTTATTTCTTCCTTCTTCCTTTTTGCTCCCTACATGCCTGGCACTGGGGTCAAAAAACTGTCACACCAGTGTGTTAAAGTCTTTACATGTGTCACAGAAGAGCCCTGGCTTTTCTTTCCAATAATGGAGTTGGTACTAAAATATTTACCTGTAGAGGTCAATTCTCATAGCTGACGCTCACCATTAGAGCACTGTCATAATTTGTCTTCAACTCCTCAACTAAGTGCACCTGAGCATGTGCTGAAGAGGTAGAAAAGACAGACACACTGACAAGGAAGCAATTTAGATGATGATTTTTTTTCCCTCTCATCCAGTTCTGATTGTCAAGTTCCCTTGGGATAGGCGGCCAATAATATTTTAAAATCATCTTGGCTTTCTTTTAAATTATGGCTTCAGATAAAATTGAAATATAAATTCTGTATTAGAGTTTTCATCCCCCACCCCTTTTTTAAGGACACCACTGACTGATCTTAGAGAGTAATTTGGCTGATAAACTGGCATGCATGCAGTTACAATCTCCTCTCAGCACAGCAGGGAAGAAAGCAGAACGAATCACAGGCCTCACCCACTGCAATTGATTTTCTAAAAAGAATACAAAGCAATTAGGAAAAGAGAAAAATGATGAATTCTGAGTCTGTGTGCTACAAAGAAACACTATTCTTATCTGACAGCACCTACAAAAGGCTTTGCATCTACCCTTCTGCAGGAATGACTCTTACAATTCTATATTAATTGAAAAGCTTAAAATGTTTTGTAATATTCTCATCTTGAAAGGTGGAGACTCTGAAGGAGCTCAACTGTTGGGTCAAGGAATAGCAGCTAGCTTTTCTTGCAAGCAGTTAGACTACATTGGAAGCAGGGACATGTAACTTAGTGGCTTTATCATGCCAAGGACCAATTTTTTTAACCCTTATTTCCCACTCAGCATCCATAGCTAAATAGCACCTGGAAAGAATCATGGAGAGCATTCAGTGTTATAGTCAAAATGAATTAACTTTGGGATCACTTGGGGAGTTTGCATGGGTTTTGCAGCAGCCGAGAGGTTGAGACTTCGCACACAATTTACAGGTGAATGTAGCGTAACTGATAGACAGACATTTTGAAGAAATTCTTGCCAGGCACTGGTGGCTTACATTTGTAATCATAGCTACTCAGGAGGCTGAGATCTGCGCATCATTAT